ATACGGTTAAATCGATTTTTGCGTTGTCCAATGAAAACCCTATTTGTCTGTAACGGTAGAATCACCTCGCTCTTTTCCAAATCACTGAGAAGGTACAAAGAACTGGCCTACAAATCTCGTCTTGCATCACTTGTAAGGCACTATTCTGATTTAATCAAGTCCGAGATAACGTACCTCAATGCAATCTTTGCCGCCCAAATTCTGCGAACAAAGAACACCAGTTTCTTATAGTAAGGTATTCGCCTTCTCTGTGGGCAGAGCACAAACATTCTAATACCTCTGTGGATGTCAACAGCCTCAACGCCGCCTACATCCACTCGTCAAAGGAGAGCCAGATTCCCTCATTCCTATGCAATGAATCCAGCTCAATGCCTTTTTCCAATGATTTATTCTTTAAGCTTCTTCGATCCTGCAAAGCATCCTCAGCTGAAGGCCCTGATGGTTTTCCTCCGGCACTTCTGAAAGTTGGAGCTGCTTTCCTAACCAATATGATGACATCCATCGTCAGTGAGTCCCTATCTTCCCGGTCGATTCCTCATTCTTGGCGTCCGGTGACCATTATTCCGATCCCCAAATCCAAGTCCTCGACTGTTCTTCGAAACGGTTTCGTCCTATCGCGTTGACCTCAGCGGCTCTCATGGTTTGCTGACTATTTCACAGAGAGGGTCCAGTGCACCAAATTAGGAAGGAGGACATCAAAACCTCTTGTTAATAATTCTGGTGTTCTTCAAGGTGCTGTTCCATCTCCATATCGTTCTGCCTTTATTAGTGATCTTTCGGTCCCAACCCCTGCGCACATCCAAAAGTATGTTGATGACGTTCTTTTGTGTCAGACAGTTTCCTCTCTTTCGGAATTTCATTCTTTTACTGAAAACCTATCCCACATCCAACAGTTTTCTGACCAATCTGGTCTCAGTCTTAACACATGCAAGTGCGTAGAGTGCATTTGCAGTCTTTCCCGCTCTTCATTTACAATGGACTCTGCTACCCTTACCGGTAAACCGGTATCCAGAATGATCTAAGTGAAGTACCTGGGCGTCACCATCGACAGCAATTTTCATTGATCTACACACATTTACAACTGTATGGGAAAACTGAGACGCTTATCTTTCCAGTTACGCAAACTCTAGCACATCCGAACCCCACTATCAGTCCTGTCATCTTTCGTTCATCAATGCGTTTTACCCATTCTGCTTTATTGCTTTCGTGTAGTGTTTCCCGGTCTTTTAAAACAACACTTCAAAACAATTTGGCGTGGTTTAGTTGTGCATTGTTAATCCCAATCGATTTATTAATCACAGAACGCATTGATGGTCACATCAACTCTTCTTTTGAATTTGCTCAAAAGATTCTAGATGATCCTCTTCATCCACTACACCCTGATCTATCGTCTTGTCGTTCCCATCGGTCGCTGTATATTTTTAACTGAAATGTATGCATGTATACTTACACAAGTTATACAAATACAAAATACATACAAATTTGTATCTATTCAAGGTGAACTGCTGAGTAATTGTGCTTTCATCGGTGATCAGGAGTTGAACCAAGGGGTGTACTAATCGGTAGACCGTAAAATTGTCATGGTTCACATCTGTTAACTTTTAATGGACCTGATCGAGTTTGCATCCCTCCTCACTTGCTACAAATCACCATAGATTGTCTTCTCTGAGCCAGATAAAGTAAAGTAATAGGGCAAACCAACCACGAGACTAAAGACTAACAAGCGCAAAGTGCAAAAGTAAGACAAATTTTTCGTGAACTTACCATTATTATACATTTGTTCGTCAGAGCTCTGACCCTCGACGCAGTATATGACACCGAATTTGAAATTTACTGAACCCTGAAATATAAATCGGATCGTCATTTCCGGAATATGTTTTGATTAGCGTAAAACATTTTATTCCGGAGAAGGTTGCATTATTACTTGATTTCATCCGATGAAACGTTTATCAATCAATCCCGTCATGAATTGTCCTCACCACACATTGATAAATCCCTTAGAATTGGGCGGTGCTTTGTCAATCCTGGTGTTTGCTTTCTCTAGGAAGTTTGCACTGCTAATGAGCTCATGTGGTCACGTGAGTCGGTAAGTATTCATATAGGACTCGCTAACACAACCCTGTGTTAACGGATTCATAATCGTGCTGAACAATTGAAGTTTCCACTGAATAACTCTGATAGACTGGCGTATTCCCGTAAACGTACGCAGGCGACGCAAGTTCGTCAAAGCGGCTTTGCAATAAACGAGTGAGGTTTTCAAGGCATGACAAACAGCACATGAAGGGATGATTTTCTGCACCATACTTCGTCAGTTAAACCCTGACATACATCCAACTCGCAAATAATAGCTTGAAATAAATAAAATATATTTGATCACAAGCTAAGCGAACAGAACTGAAAAAATGCATCATGTTTGTACTGTCTCAAGATAAAAGTTGAGGATATCTACAGTTCTTCACGGTACGATTCGTGATCCGACTTCTCTCTAATTTGTTGGAATTTTGTGCGGATAACGCGATCGACGTGCAACATAATTTTTTGAACTAATGAATTATCATGTGGCTGCACATTTACCTCTGGGAAGCATTTATTTATTTCAAAACCAGAGCAGTACGCATATCGAGCGTTTAACTTTGCTCGGCCAACCACTGTCTGTTCAAACATAGAACGGTAATCAGCCAAATCGTGATTAATGAGCATTTCACTGTTCGATTTTGTAGAAAAGCAGCGAACTATTTTAAGAAATATTGACTGGCTTGTCAAAAATAAAAGTGACAATACATCATGTTTTAGGAAAGAAAACCTGCACAAGTTTGCTGGAGTAGCAGATTGGGAACGGTGAACAAACGGCACTGCTGTGTGAACAGTAGGCATACGCCCCGATTTTGAGGGTGATGACTTAGCAAGACTAAAATAAGAACTTACTTCTTGCTCTTCCAACGTTAGTGCATCCTTTTGAACTTCAAAATTTAACACCTCTTTGGGGCCCTTTTCCACCCGATGCAAGTCGAAGAAGCTGTGGAAAGAGAAGGCGGTCTTTAGCATTTTTTTTCACTTCTTACCTCCGTGTGTTGAATTCAAAAATGCACAACTCTCAGCAAGATGGTGGGCTGCAGTCAGTGGAGCTCTGCTTGGCGACACGCTTAGAGAGAAAATGTTGAGTAGCAATGATGGGATTCGAACACTTCCTTCGGAGTGATAAGGTAGGACCTCTACCGCTTAACCACGACCGTTTCTGAATTTTGGTTTTGTATACGCCACACATGCGATAAGATAACGAATGATCGAAAGTCTATTACGATCTCCAGAACATTTGTGCCACTTGTGTGATTTCTATCCAAAAATTCATCATTGCGTTCTCACCAAAAATATTCAATTACGTTTCGAATTCCAAATGTTTGTCTCTTGGCCAAAAATCCGACTCTTTCCTTCTTAGTTGTTTAAACTAAATGTCCCCTGCCTGTTGACGAGAACACATAATGAAATCCTCATCGTATTCACGGATAAAGACCAGGTGCATTTCCCAATCGTTGCAGTTAAAAATTTTTAAACTACTAGGCGTTACAGTGCAGCATTTTAGATAAGTAAAAGTGTAACTGAAGGTGTTCAGTTATCTATCATCCATAAACTCAGTAGTTTTGTTTATTAGAGTAAAGCAGTGGTTCCTTTCAGGATCAGTGCTCTAGTCGGATGATCAAGATGAAATCCATCTCTCTCACACCCTCTCGCTCTCTGGTCGATCAGCACGGGTAGCGTGTTTCGACGTTCCCTATTTTGATCTTACCTCGTGCACTTGGTCATCTGCGAGATTCGGTGTAAAGGCGGTACAATATGTTCGTTTATTAAATTGAAATGCTATGCGAAGTCGCTGAAAGCACTCTCCCATGTTAAAAAGCAATCGATTACTAGTACGGTGACATTGGTCTAACGCCAAGAATCATCAGTTGCATTGAAAGATGTTTGGGCGGGGAGAGGAGAAATTGCATAACATCCGGAGGATGTCCAGTACAAATTTCCGTTACATGTGCACTGAACGTGATCCAGTATATTGCATGCAGACTGTCACCAAGCAATTTCATAGAAATGAAGAATTCGATTCAGGAAACCTTTCGCTCTTCATTACAGATCTTGGTCTGTGGTCTGTCTGCATCTTATGTGTGAGGAAATACACGCTTATTGATATTTTGGCATGTTACCCGCAGGAACGAAGTTGCCGAGTTATTCAGGCATAATCTCGAACACATTGTGTAACGAAAATACGTTGTTCAATATATGTTAACTCCTTTTTATTCACCTTGGAATGGTAATAAAAATAGTAGTGAACTAAACGATAGCAATCAAGTTTATTAGTAGTATTGTTATCATTGTAATATCTTGTGATTCAATGTTTCTTATTTAGTGACTACAAATATTGCTACGAGTTCAGCATAGTTATCTCAGACTTACGGCAATCTACTAGTTTATAATCCAAATTCTGTTGATATATGATAATGATCTGAATAATTCTCTCACTTTAGATCTCAGATTAATGAATCGTTATGAGAAATAACACAAGCCAGATTGCATTGTTATTATAATACTACCAACAACGTTTCACATACTTTAGGACTTTCTTCGCGGTCAGTGAGTTTGTCGGATTGTGAGAAATGCACAGCTTTTGGCTCCCCTGATTTGTGAATGGAACACAAGGAATAATACATGAAGTCATTCAAAGGGAACCAAACAGGAATACTACCGAAAAGCAATCAACTTTTATGTATATATATATATATATTTGTACAATCATGAGTAGGGCATGAGCACAAATTCGGTCGCACTTATTTCCGTCCCGATTTATTTTTGATCTTGGCGGATCGACAAATGATAAGGGGTGAATGATAACTATTTCAGTGAGGATACAACTAGCCTGAATGCTACCAAAACTAGGGTCACTGGCCAGGATTATTTGGCTAATATAAAAAGTAAACTAACGCTTGCTATCACACTATTCCTGGAAATAGTATTGTTCACACTCAGAGTACTACACTGATATTCAGAAGAAAACATAAAACACTTTATTGATACGAATTCTTCTATCCCGAAAATGAATACTGGAACTGCAAGTTGATATCACCAATGCTCCGCAAAGCAATAATAAATATAATATTGATATTAGTATTATATTATTTACATAGACATGGTGTTTAATTCAGTTGGAATATCTGATTGGTGAATTAGAATAAAAGTTTCGTATGATCGCGTTAGTGACTGCAAGAAGAAACTCACTGTTTTCCTCCACAGAATCGCCCGATACTGGCTCACCCCGTAAGACTGCACGTCTGTTTTAGCCACGGCCAACAGAAATGGATCACGTTCTGTGATATAGCCACAATACAGCTGATGATCTTTGTATGGATCGAGAGCAAATAAGGGAAATGAGATGTTACGGATGACAGGGACAAGTTGGGAGGATAGAACGCAATTTGTAGGAATGCTTTTTGTTAGTGACAAACGATTTATAGCATTCTCTTGCCTAACAGGAACTGATATAGAAGCTCTCAGCTTTGGAAATGCTACATGACATTTGGACACTTTTATTTTGTACCCAAATCGAAACACACACAAACACAAACACTTTCGTTGCAATATGACCCTGGCGGTGGAGTGGGAGGGTAAAGGACACCGAATCATCGCCCCGGAGGGCGTGTTCGAATCCCGTTCCCACCACCTAACATCCCCCATTGTGTTGTAAAGAAACCCTTTGACGGCCAATTTCCTCATCCCGAAAATGTTATCATAATATATCAACTAAAAGCAAATGAAAATGAAAGGACTGAAATCTAGATAACCTTTATACACTCAAACAGCGGTGTTTCAGCAGTTATTGACATTTCTAATGGAGACGACTGTGCTTTCAATGCGGAGCATATCTAAACTCGGCTTGAATGTAACGTCCCTTTGATTGAACCCCGTATAGTTCATACAGTCTAGTACCGTTGTGCAGGTTCATTTCAACAGGAAATACGATTTCCCAAGTATTTAAAAAGCCTAACCACGTATATATATATATATGTGACTAAAAACTGCTGTGAGCGAAATTAGACAGCCTCGCCTGTTGCAATAGTCAATTCTTTTTGCCGTGCAACTAAGAAAAACGAGCAGGTAAAGGAACCGTTGACCGGTCCTTTCGCCGTTGCACAAAAGCCAAAAGTTTGCATTGTTACCACGTAGACCACCAATGCAAATTACAGTAGATTGAATTTCACAGTTTTCTGGTAAAACACATTTGCCAAAAGCAATACAATCAGGAATTTACAGGTTCCCGGTATGGGGGAACAGTACGCGTTAGACTGAATGAACACACATCAGTTTCATTCTATATGTTGGCCTGTTTCAGAAGGCGAATCAGTTAAACTGACACATCTAGCTCTTCATCCAGGATTCAATACTGCTAACATGATATATCCTATATTGGTTCTTTTAACCCCAAACTGAAGTGATTCTTTTAACGCTTAATACTTGCTATTAAACAAAGAAAAAGGGATGAATGTTATTAAACTTTGTACATCAAGAGGTGGATAAATTTAGCAAATGAATGAATGCATACAGACCCAAAACAATTAACCAATGAATGTAAAGCATTCTGTTGATTTTTGTATGAAGAGTGAATGTAAGCAATTTCATAAACTCACATTTCCCCAAAAAGTATTTGAAATACCATCGTGTTTCTCTTTCGGGGTTTTCGAGATGCACCGGGTTGGAAGATGATTTGGAAGGATTCGAACCGATGCTACCAGCAGTGTACGGGAGAAAATCGAACAGGTAAAAATCTTCAAACAAATTAGTTTGACTGAATGTGCCTTTTCCGGATGAACAATTATCTATCAAGCTTTGTCCACAAGGGGTTTGCGTGGATAATGTAGAGGGTTGCATTGGGGCGGTTGCTCCAAGAGGAGCTGTTACGGGTTCACCAACAGTGTCCAGTTCGTTGACATCCGCAGCGGCATCCGCGGACAGAAGAGCACTGTCCTCATCTCGGGTGAACAAGAACAATTCTTGGTCTACGGATTCATAGGGTTTCATCGATTTTCCGTAATCGAAACTGAGGGTATCCGAACAAGTGGAAGGGCTGTGCTTTTTACGGGTACAGCACTGATGGTATTGCAGTTCCGATCGGAAACGACCAGCATTGTTTACGAAACCGTGGTGATCTGCGACACTGTCGGACATATGCATCTGTAATCGAATGAAGTATGATGCACGAAAGTTTTTACGCGTACAAACCCAATTCAAAAGAAATCAGTGACCTTGACCTGTTGTGCGTATACGGCCTTTTCTACTATTCACATTGGGTCAACCATACATCTTATCCATCAGATGTGGGTATGCGGATATGTGCGTATTTGTGTCTGTCGTTACGTGAGAAACTTTGAAATCGGTTGGCTTCACGCCCTCTGCTTGTATCGAACTGCTCATTCACTCCTTCCTCGGCCTTTGGTCGTCTGATTGTTTTACCATTTAGCCAATGAACTAGTTGGTCGGTTGGTTGGCTGGTTGGTTGGTTGGATTGCTCAGTTGTTTATGCGCGTTCTTTCCCACCTCATGCTCCCCTTATTTGTTTGTTTCTTCCCTCCCTCACTCTCACTCATGCAACCACTCACTCACTCACTCACTCACTCACTCACTCATTCGCTCAACCCTGTCTGCTGATCAATAATCATTACGGTTTGTTATTGCTTGATGAGGTTGGACACATTCCTTCGCCTAGGGCAAACGTCCGTTGTGTGTATGTGTGTATCCTGTGCTTATCACAGTGGATGATTGTACTCTCCCATGTTTCTGTGTGTGTGCGTGTGCGTGTGCGCGCGCGCGCTCGATCACCCGAGCATGTTATCGAGTTTGTGCGTTTGTGTGCTTGTACCTTTGCGCTCGTGTCCGTAAACCGGGGAGCGCATTATACGGACGTGTGACTTAAATTATGTCCCCTTTTTCTCATCGCCGTGGTATTCTTTGTCATCATCATTCTAGCTGTTGTTGTTGTTGTTGTTGTTGTTGTTGTTGTTATAGTCAAGGTTTTTCTTTATATTTCTTTTCTTACTTTGTGCCTTTATGTTGCTTGTGCTGCTTATGCATGAACAAAACTGGGATGGGGTGTAAGTAGCATTTCCCGCAGCTCGGAATACACGCACGCACACATACAAGCGTGAACTCATCCGAACGACAAGCATCTAGTACTGACCCAATTAGAAAGTTGGGAAGTGGATATCTTTGCGAACTTATAATTGCGTTGGTGCATGTGTACACGAGTTTCAATACACCCGTAGATCAAACCTGCTCGAACTCCAGTCAACTTGGCTTCCTTCTCTCTCTCTCTCTCTTCGTCTTTATCTTTTTCTGTATCTCTGTCTTCCTACATAAGTCTGCTGAGGCAGAAAAGCGAAAATACCAAATAAAATCCTTTACTACACCACACCTATACACACACACAAACACACACGCACGTACGTGCACAACTTGTTGATAAGGTGAAACATTCTCGTACGTCCACACACACTCACGCACACACAGAGTGTTCCCATGCGCTGGCTCGGATCGACCAAGTTCTGAGCTCAATGACAATCGCCACCGGATGGCGTGGGAGGATGGTCCGGTTTGGGCGTCTCACGAGATATACTTTTGGTTTAAGGACACGTGTGTACTTAGTTTGCGGGATTGTGTATTCCCATAGAAGTGATGGACGGTAGTGGGGGATAGAACAGACTGGTTAACAAAGGTGGCGTTTTGTTATGATAGCAGTTGTTGTACGCTATGCAAACCGCGAATTTTACTGGCCAGCTTGAGGGATGAGGAAACGGTTAAAGGAATCCAACAAGACCGGGTTAAAGCTGTAATGGTGTATTAATAATATCAATGATGATGATGATGATGATGATGATGATGATGATGATGATGATGATGATGATGATGATGATGAAACTATCAATATTGATGAGTTTTTCGCCGTCAGGTAAACGTTCTCACCTGGATGAATGCTGTCTAGTGCGAAAAATCAAAATATTTTGTCGATTACCACCCATCGATCGCTGATCATGTGATTCACTGCTTATAGGTGACTGTTCTCTGAATGTGATTATGGGTTCATTTCACTCAGGTTTCCCCATTTCCCCGTTCTCCCGCACACATCTACTGTGATCAACCAAGGTCATCTCCGATCACCCACTTCGATGGTGATAAGAGAAACAAAGTTGATTTCAACCAGATACAAGCATACCGTCATCCGCGATATTTGGGGAAACAAACCCAAATGATTTATGAATCAGTTTGGGATATTTTTCATCAGTTGTCACAGTGTCGTGTGTCGGTGAGAGTGAGTTGAGATATGGGAAAATTGGTTGTTTTCTAAAGTTCCTCCAGTGTAACTGGTTTGAACATTACTCAAATTAGAGAATGCATAAATTCCAATTATAACGAGTACTCACAGTAGGCGGAATGTCAGATGTCTGTCACAACTTGAGATTATTGAATGTAAGCATGAGACTTAAAAATGATATCTGCCTCGTATCGTTTGCTCAGGGGATAGGTATCTCTAGGACAGTTTCATCTGACACGACTTTTAGAAAGTTAGCCCTAGAAGGATGGACAAGTTACTTGAGGACTATCGGCTAAATGAATTCCTCCTAAATATAAACTTTATTTCTGAAGTTTTTCACCGGGCTAGTTGAATTGCTATCATTGTTGGTTTTGAGCATCGAATGCTGGCAGCTCCCACTGAACCCTTCCTGCCACCTTAAAACCCCATCATGTTGATATAAAAAAGAGACTATTTAGTGTTAAATAAGTTCTCATTCGGAGAGGCTTGCTTAACAAAAAATGGTTAAAATAGTATGCGAAATATCGGGTCCCCTCTATCTTGTGCATCAAGACCGTAAAAAGAAATATCGCGAGATGTTACCATTCCGTTCAATCTTCTCAATCACTGACGTAAAACAAACAAGCACATCTATAGCACATTGGATTTGTAAATCCTGGTGAAAAGATATGTACGGATATACCGGGGCTATTAGAATTGAAAACAAGAGGTCAACTTCAGGGCAAACCAACTGATCGTGCCAACAACCTTTGGGCACACAGAACGGCATGACGTAATCCGATTAGCAACGCCTAACTTATGCATTGCAAAACTGTTGGCAGCAAGTGAAGCGTTGCTAATCAGATTGCGTCATGCCGTTCTGTGCGCCCAAAAGTTGTTGGCACAATCAGTTGGTTTGCCCTGAAGTTGACCTCTTGTTTTCAATTCTAATAGCCCCGGTATATCCG